AGTGACCCTGTATCATCTAACATCACAGGGAATGAAAATAGGGGCGGTGGGATTGGCGAGCGTTGATCTCTAATTGATAGATACCAGCCCTGAGACTATACTTTTGCCAAAGCTCTGTCTTCCTAGATATAGACATGAATAATTACACACAGGCACACATCCTCTTTACAAGCACTCAACAGTGTCACTTTCCATCAGCTACACATCTAGATTGCTGTCTCTCTTGCTTGTAAGTACATGTTTGCATAACATAACAGAAGACAACCTGTCTACTTTTACATATCGGTTCTGATATTCACGGTTGAGAAAACTTCACCTCTTTGGATTTATTTTAAGTCAAGTATGATGGATGGCCTTGGGTACTACAGCACAGGAGCAAAAACTCATGAGAATTTCAGGCTGAGAGTTTTCTTTCTTCTTCTCCTTTTGGAGGCATAACCACTTCATCATTGCTGTCAAGTGAGGGCTCAGTATGATGGGAAAATTAGAGGAAAAAGGCTGAAAGACACTGTAATTTTGTTCCTTAGGGACTTTTGTCCAGATCTGATTATATAGTAAGTTTGCAAACTTCTCTTTGGAAGTAGATTTTATATATATATATATTCTTTAGATAACTAAAGGCAATGCCTGGTAAATAAGGTTAATCTTTTTTTTTTTTTTCTTTTTGTGAGGCAGATCAGCCTTGAGCTAACATCCATGCTAATCCTCCTCTCTTTGCTGAGGAAGACCGGCTCTGAGCTAACATCTGTTGCCAATCCTCCTCCTTTTTTTTTTCCCCAAAGCCCCAGTAGATAGTTGTATGTCATAGCTGCACATCCTTCTAGTTGCTGTATGTGGGACGTGGCCTCAGCATGGCCGGACAAGCGGTGCATCAGTGCGCGCCCGGGTCCAAACCTGGGCCTCCAGTAGCGGAGCGCACGCACTTAACCACTAAGCCACGGGGCCGGTCCGGTTAATTTTTTTTTAATGCAATGTAGTTTGTGTGTGGATCTTGGTATGAATGAGGAAATGGGTAGGCCATGAGTTTTCACTTGGTTTTTCGAAATCTGATACATTGAATAATTGTTTTTAGTATAAATTACAAAATAAAAATATTGTAGTCGTTAAGTCCTCTCAGCTGAAAAGGTTTAAAGTTTTTAATAGGTACAGTGCTTCTGGTGGGGGCAGATAATAGAGAGTATATTAGGCTGCTATTTCAACAAATAAACCCCAAATCTCAATGGCTCACAGCAGATATTTATTCATTCATTGGTCTAAGAGTTGGCTAAGGTTCACTTGATCTGGGTTCAGCTGAGCTTGGCTCCAGGCGGCAGGACTGTGTTTGGGTCATTCTGTGTGTTTAATTCCAGGCTCCCTAGGGCATACTTGTCAAATGGTGATGGCAGAAACACAAAGCAGGATGTAAAAAGACACAATGCCTCTTAAGGCCTTGGCTGAGAATTGGCATACTGTCACACTGTTCACATTCAATTGGCCAAAGCAAGTTACAAGGCCAGGTCCAACATCTATGAGCCAGGGGAAGGAGCTACAAGGACAACTGGAAAAGGCCTTGGGTGCATAATCATAATGCAGGGAGGGAGTAAAGAAGCGGAAACCATAACTCAATGTACCACAGGTAGAGAAACTTACTCCATTTTGGAAAGATGAGCTATGACATTGCCTCCAATTTTAAATGGCGTATTACCTTTCCTTTCTGTCTGCTTCCGTTGTACTGATAATTGACAGCAAAACCCCAGTCTGATGTTGTAGGTTAGCATCAGAGAGTGCAGCTCATCATTTGAATGTTTGGGAAAAGCACAGACTTTCAAAGTGGTCCTAAGGTAAGCCACCCTTCCTGTACTGTGACTGTGCTGTATGTTGTATTAACGGTGGTGAGCTGTAGAATTAACCTGTGTGTATGTGTGATCCATCAAGCTGTCAAAATGTCTTTAAGAAGCAAAATCACCAATAAATATTGAGTGAAAAACAGATTTATAAAATGCACATGAAAGGAAAAGACATATGATTAAGTTGAGAAGGCAGTTTTAAGCTTTTTACAGAATGTTCAGTAAGAACCTAACACCTCAAAATCTGTTTGCATCAGAAAATTAAATGACATTTGACTGTTTTACAAGCATATACCTAATTTCAGGTAATTTTTTTCTGTATTTATTAAATGTACTCAGTTGAAGAGTGTAGTTTGGCCACTACCTATTTTAATAAGTATAGCCAGGTGCTTTGTTTTTGACTGTTCAAAAAACTTGTGTTGGTATTATTAAAACTCTCCGTTCAAAGACTTACTGTATAAATTTATGTCCTTTCTAATGGTGAATTTGTCCTATGTCCTCACCTACGTTGTCAGACTTCTGAGAGTTACAGTTTTGTGACTTATTTCTGCCCCTGGCCCTTTCCTGTGATAATGATCCTCTCCAAAGTTGTTATGCATGACGGTTTTCCCTTGCATGTTTCATTCATAGGGATATTGTCTGGTTAAACATTAGGTATTAGAAATTGGCTCTTTAAAATAAAAACTATCTCTGAAATGAAGTTACTTTTCATTGTTTCTGCCTGAACTTCGCAGTGTCTTTCCTCTGTATCAAGAGTGAACTGGACTGCACTCCTCACCTTGTTAATGCAGTGTTGGATTGCCACTGCAGGCTGCGTGAGTGTGTTTGCACGCATGTCTGTAGTTCCTCTAAGGACACTGGGTCCTTATTATTGTGGGAATTATCACCCTTTTATACCTGAACGATGCATTTCTACTCACCAGACAATGTGCCTTTGATGATATAGATGTCTTACCTTAGGTGTTGTACATTATGTTCTCTGTGATGTATATATTATGTTTTATGTTGTCCTATTAATCTAAGTAAACTTTACCCAAAGCCAGCAGCTATTCCAAAATAAAAATGAAAAGTGGAGGATTTAAAATGAGGGATGTGATTAGGAATGAATACATTTCTGAAGATAACGTAGCACTGTGAGAGTACACCTTAAATTTAAAAAGGTTTATTTCCTCTTTTCTTGCCAGATATGAACAGAAATATTCCAGGAGGGAGATGAGCCTTGTAAATGGACGTTAACAGGGGTCTGAGCTTTAATCTTGTTGTCTGTTAAAGCATGGCCAGCACTGCCTTCCTCTCAGGGTCACCGTGAGGATAAAGTGGAGGTGCTTAGAAGAATGTCTCCTCTCCAAGGTTCTTTTAGGCGTTAGTCCTTTTCTATGTCTTCTGAGCACTCTACAGCACATGAGGCCCTAAACAAAAGCCCAGGAGACCATCTTTCTGGAGAGAGTAGGTAGCAAGGGGCATATGAAAGGGCTAGGCCAGGTGACTGAAAAGGCTCGTATTCTAAGACATCTGGCTCAGGTGAAGGAAGAGCTTGTTTATAACCTCTGGACACCCATGAAGGTTTATAACCTTCTATGTCTGCAGAGTAAACACCTGAGGCCCTGGACCCTCATTTTCTCAGGGGCCACAGACAGGTGTTTTGTGGACCGCCTACCAGAGGGTAACTGTAGGGACACTGTCACCTGCATCACCTTTCACTTCCAAGTATGATTGGAAACCAACCAACCCAACAAGCAAACAAAAAGCAAAACCTTGGCCGTTTTCAAATTTTCTGTCTTCTACAATGCTACTCTAATGTATAGGAGAAGCATGTTATCCCAAGGTCCCTTTGTTGCTGACTTATTCTCAGCTCAAGTTACTTGTAAGTCAGGTTCACAGCATGGTGGAAGTTGTTGGCTGGCTTTGGGCCACTGCCAAAGAGACACTATTACAAGGATTATGTGTAATAAACACCCTATCATATATCCAACGGTGATCTCTATTGCAAAAGTCCACTGAGCCTAAACCCCTAACTTCTGCCTAGGTGCTTAATATTTTGCCAAGGTTGCTTACCAGGAATTAAAAGAGGACTAGGAACTTGAGAGCTCTATAGGACTTTAGAAGTGATCTAATCCAGCATTTTCCAAACTGTGTTCCAGTGGAACACTTAGTGGCTTGCAATATGTTTAACAGGTGTCCCTTTAAATGGATTCTGTGGTCAAATAAGTTTGGAACACACTGTTATTCAGAGCTAAGTTTCTTAAAGGATGGTTCAAGGTCTTTAACATGCTAAAATGAATCATGGCTCCAAGGGATGCAGCATGCAGCTTTTCTCACACTTATCTGACCACGAGATCCTTTTGTTGTAGAACACGTGTTGCCATCTCAAGAACGCCAAGCAGAAGCCATATAGTCTAGTCAGTAACAGCATGGCCTTTAGGGTTTAACTGCCTGGGTTCAATTCCTGGCTTTAGCATTTACTGACTTTATGATCTTGAGCAGATTGCTTAACCTCTTTGTACTTCAGTTTCTCCATCTAAAATAACACTAATGACACCTGCCTATAGGGTTCCTTTAAAAATCAAAGAACAGGGGCTAAGAACAGCGCCTGGCACATACTTGACTACTATCATCCTAACATAGTTTAGAGAAGAACTAGCCCAATACCTTCATTTTGGAGGTGAGAAAAGTGAGTCCCAAATAGTTCACTGATGCAGCATCACTCATTCCACACGCATGATGATTCTAGCCCCAGAAATGGAGATGAACATGGCACAGTTCCTGCCCCAGAGGAACACACACCCTAGACTTGGCTCAGATGATACCTTTTAGGAGTAAAGCCAACAACCCAGGCCTCCTGATGTCTGTCCTCCAGCTCATCCTCTGATTCTCTTCTGAATGAGAATGATCTGTGTAGCCTGGATTGGTAACAAAAAGAAAGAGCATAGAGTACAGCTAATAGACTTATCTTTTTAAATTGGGTATGAGGGCATATGTTTTAATTCTTTATTAGTGTGATCCAGAAAGAGTAATCAAGAGAAGCGCTTTTGGAGGAGTGCAATCTCTAAAAGTATAACTTAGAAAGGGACATAGGAGATAGTATGAATTGGCCCACATAGAGTCCCCAGATATGGCTGGCTTAATGTTTTTCTAGCCACTGTGTCACTGATGGTCCTCTCTGTGTTTGTCTAGGCATCTCCTCCGAGGGCTTTCCTCGAGACTGCTTCAATGAGCAGACAGCAACTAAAGACCCTCCCAACAGGGATGGAGGTGCATGGGTCCTGGGGTATAGAGCAGGACCAACCTGTCCATTTCTGCTTCACGAGGAGAGAGAGAAGCCAAACAGAAGCGAATTATACTTGGACCTCCATGTAAGTAGAAATCTTTGTGCTTGTGCTGTGATTCTTTGAGTCAACAGAGGCTCATTTAATATGCATTTAATGTGAATAGCTGCTGAAGCTGCATTTTGTGTGAGGGACATTGTCTACAAATCAATCAATTGCTGAAAACAGATATCTCTCGCTGATCTGAAACCTTGAGCACTAGAAAGTGACTGTGTTTACAGTTTTTCAGAGCACTTTGCTCACATCAGCTTTGCTGCCTAAACCGCACTGTGGGAGTACCTGTTTACTGCAACTCACCTCTCAATATCATTTTTCTAAAAATTTGAGAACATATGTGAGCAGACAGATATGCTCTGGATTCTCTAGTGAAATCCAATTAGCCTGTCTTCCTTGCACGTTCCTAAACCTTTCTTTCTCTCCAGCTGCTCAAATAACAGGTGAACAGGTTGTCAGGAAATCTGCCAAACGGAGGATGACCCATAATGCAAAGTGAAATAAGTCAGAGGGAGAAGGTCAAATACCGTATGATTTCCTTCATTAAGTAGTAGATAATAACAACAATAAACAAACACATAGGGACAGAGATTGGATTGGTGGTTACCAGAGGGGAAGGGGGGAGGGAGGAGGGTGAAAGGGATAATTCTGTACATGTGTGTGGTGATGGGTTGTAATTGGTATTTTGGTGGTGAACATGATGTGGTCCATGCAGAAATAAAGTACAATGATGTACACCTGAAATTTTTACAATGTTATAAACCAATGTTACTGCAATAAACAAAAAAATTAAAAAAAAAAGCAAAAAAAACCAAAAAACAAAAAACACAGTCTTCTCCTTTCTCATTCATTCACATATTCATTGACACCGAAGCATTGACTACCCTATACCGAACAAGAGGCTGGGTTTTAGCTACTTCCACATTGTAGATGGCCTGATAGGATTGACCAGACGGTCAGGATTCTCACCACCACTCTTCACCTAGCAGTTTCCTGTCAGAGATGGCAGTGAGCATTAGGAAGCCAAGAAGCTTTTTTGGACATTGATTTTAATGCCTATTGACAATCTCATATCCTTGATTTCTTTTAATACCTTCCAATTCATTACTTTTAGGCCTGGAAATATGTATTTGAGGAGTGTGGGTTGGTCTGTGATGTTCGTATGAGTGGCGATCTTCTCAAGCAACCAACAGCAGAAGAACCTTGCACTTTTCATAACCACAAAACCGTAGTCACAGAGTGTCATTTTAGAAAAGCATTCGACATCCCAGATATGGTAAAAGGAGGTTTGGATTGACGCTGAAAGACTGAAAAGTCTACAACCCTTCGTGAAATGACATGGAAATTTGTAAAGTTTTTGTTTTTGGCCCTCTGCCTAAAAAGTTAAGTTGTACATCTTGAGATGTGCTCAAAGAAAGAAGAGGAACAGTGACATCTATTGGTCATACTACTTTAAGTAGAGCTGGCTGCAAAGCGGGCCTGGGGCGTGAAAGTGCAGAGATGGATTTTGAAGATTGCTTTCTTTTTCTCCTGTGTTTTTAAAAAATTCTGTGTTTATCTATTTTTTTAAACATTGGCTAAACTATGTATCTCTGGTTTTCCTTCTCCCCCATGAATGAAACTATTTCTTAACTTTACTTAATTTATTTCAATTATAAAAATCATATTCAATCCTTGTAGAAAATTTGAAATATGTAGATAAATTGGAAGAAAAGAAATAATCTATAGTCTCAGTAGCCAAGGACAACTGTTAAAATTTGATAAATTTTCTTTGTATTTTTCACTATGTATGATTAACTTTAAATGAGGATTTTTTCTTTAACAAGTAAACACAGATTTTATATTTTTCTTTTTTTTCTTTACCAATTGCTCTTACATTGCTTATCCATGTCATTACAAATTCCTTCTAGATATATTTTAAGTGAATGCATAATATTCCGCTACACCACATACTAAAATTTATTTAATCATTTCTCTATTATTAGATGTTAAAGTTGTTTCCAATTTTGGAAAGGTATACTACAATTTGGAAATAAATAGCATTACCACACATATAATTGTCCCTATGCTTCCTCCCCCTCACCCCCAATATTTAGGTCTATTTCCTTAAGATAAACTTTGGATTATTATCTGTAAGTATTTTTAGGCTTTTGATACATATCACTGTATGAAAAAGGTCTATTTCCTGAACCAGCCTTTAATGGTGTGTGTGTGTGTGTGTGTGTGTGTGTGTATAAC